ACTACAATACTCAAAAGGAGTGCTATGAAAATGTTTGGATGTAGCAGCATCGACTGTCTCTGCAGCTGTAGGTGCGCTGAGAAATTTCAGCATAGCCCTTAGTACATAAAGCCAGAAAACACTCATTTAAAAAATAAAGCATAAATCAAAAGCGTTTTTGTAAATGCATAACAAATATGCATAAATGACTAGAAATGCAGGAGACATTTCAGCTAGTTTTTAAGGCCTTTATGATTATCACAAAACATTTGTATTATTTATTTTGCATTAAATAAATTTTGCATTAGATATTGGACAGTGGGTTAAATTCGAATTTGGAAGGAAGGCGTAGCACATCTATACAGGTGGAGCTGGGGAAGGTGGAGGGTTTCTGAAGCAAGCTGCAACTGCTACGACAAGCTGTAGTCATATGCGGTGCGTGAGAGAGAACCTATGAAAGCACCAATAATCGAAATAATATATTAAATATAAATTATTATTATTAATATCCTATTACTTGTTTTGCTTCTGTTTCATTTTTATAACCATTTCTTACTATGTGTAAGTAAGTTGTTGTTTTTTAGCATGTGTGTTTGGCAGTGTTATTTTTTAGGATTACTGATAAACTACTGTCATTTGATTTGTATTTGTTATTTATTTTAATTTTAGTTAAATTATGTCTGAATTTATTATGTCTGTATAGGTCTTTTATTAAGTTTTAGTTTTGTTTAATTTGAGTTATTTTAATACTTCAACAAACTAAATGGAAATGAAATAATATATATATTGAATTTATACATGTGTATGTATGTATGTATATATATATATGTATGTTTGTGTGGTTGTACATACACATATGTAGTTTTTTTTTTGTTGGTGTTTGGCTTAGTGTTATGTTAGAATCATTATACTCTTATAAAATAAAAATATTTAAAACAGCTATTTCATATATATTCGGATACAACAGTCATACATCGCTATTAGGACCGCACGTCCTGTGACAAGTTCGCTGCATCAGAGCGCGGAAGTTATCAGTCTAAAGGTCTGCAGTCAACGGTGAAAATTAAAAGTAGATTTATTTTAAAGACCTAAATATTTTTATAACCTTTAGCACTAAATATTGGACATAAACAAACACGTTAAATATAAACGTATTTAAAACAGGTAAGTTCATATATTTGGAGTAAAGTTAAATTGAACGGATATTAACGCTAGTGGCCTATGACTATGTGTGCCTGGGCTACCAAGCCGACCGGCTTAACGCTAGTGGCCTATGACTATGTGAGCAGCTTAACAGTGAACAGCTTAACGTAACAGCTTGTTAATTCATGTTTGTGCAATGATGAGACAGACAAAGTTATACGATGCATGCTATTTTATGCAGATAATCATGCAGTCACGCAGATAAAAGTTGTCAAAGTTACAGTGCGCAAAAACCCCTGGGTGGACTGACCTGAATGATGTTCTTTCTCCATTTATGAATTACACACCACAGCGAGAGCACACGTCGCCTGAGCAAATTTCTCCGAACTACACTACCCATAATGCATTTCACTCTGAACTAACGGTTTCAGCAGCCGTAGATTAGGGCTGCACGATTAATCGTATTTTAATCTTGATAACAATATCCACCTTTCTCTATTAATTAAAACAATTGTCACGATATTAGCCGGCTCATTATTTATCCTGAAAACGTGTTTTTTTTTATTAGGCATTTGCGTTATATTGCATTGCTAACAAGTCTTCACTAGCGTTCATGCTTGTGGTTGCCAGATGTGAAGAGCTTTAGTCCCCAAACAGAGCTTTTCTCCTAAAAGGATACACTTTCTGCCAGGTGTTTTACTTAATCTGTGCACTGATGGCGGAACAAGCGCTGATGATATGAAAACATACCTGTGCTGGAGTTTAGCGATCTCTCCACAGCGATATTCTGCTTAAGTTACATGGAAGTGTCATACAGCCACTGTGTGTTTTCTCACAAGCCAGAATGCATTGCTTTGTCAGGCGGCAGCCGATCTTTGCGGCGCCGCATGAAGTCGAACAAGCCTATTGATATGACTGCGATAAGCGCGTGCTTCTGACGCTGTGTGCAGCTGAAATCAACCACACACACATCACAATGAAAACATACATCGGCGATTATCCCAGTTTTCACGTTCGTTATTTCTCAGGTCGATATGGCGAACCCCCGTTGAAATGCAAACACAAGAATGCTTATTTCATTTAACCTGTTTCATGTCCGTTACTAATTATGGTTGCTCGTTTTTTGGATTCAATTAGGCTGACCACGCAATACACAGCGATATGGATTAGAAGAGCATTCACTTATCTAATGCTGGGTACACACCACAAGATAATCGGGCTGATTTTGGGCCAATTTCTCCCCTTCCGACAATCCTAGGTAATGTCCCGATTGCCTTGGTGGTCACTATAGGAGCAAAACGGTTAAATCTAGGATTTTTTTTGTCCTCATGTTTGTGGTCTCTCACATTTTGAAGATCTTATAAGATTTTTAAAATCTTTTAGTGTGTACCCAGCATTAGATGTTGATTTCGCTGTTCTGAAGCAAACTGCAACTGCTACAGCAAGCACTAGTCGTATATTTAAATGCTGAGCAGCGAGCTCATTGGCTACCGATACAGGAGAGAACCAATCAGCTGTGCCATGTGATAATGATGTCATTAGGTCAGATAGAGTTAGACCTATCGGACTGCGCCATCTAGAGTTTCATGCCAGAACTCTGTATTTAAATCCATATTACCATAGAGATTAGAATATTGGGAACTTTAATTTGGACAGCCCCTTCAGTCATGCAAAATGTCTAATAAGCAATTAAACATTAATAAATGGTAAGCGCATCACTAAAATAGGAATTTTTTTCGAGTTTCTATCGAACGTGAGCCATTTGGAGAGATATGTGGCGGTGTTATGCAAATTACAGTGTGGTGCTGCTGTGTATGTTTCTAATCTTTTTTGCTTTTATTTATACTGTTGTTTTGTATTTATTATCGTTTTTCTGTAATTTGTCATGTATGAATTATACAGAAATATCTTTATCTTTATGAAAAGATAAAGTGGGTATTTTTTTCTCACCGTTGTTGTGAATTGTGTCCTGTTTAACAGGGTCTGTGCGTTGTGGATCACTTTCGCGGTTGCATTTCATGTGGGGAAAATGTACATAATATATAATTACAGATGAAATGAGGGGGGCCCTCCTAAGCGGTTGGGGCCCCAGGTGACCGCCTGTATTGCCTGTTGGACGGTGCCGGCACTGCATGTAAACAGCATGTCTGAGAGAGAGAGAAAACACATGGAAACATAAACACACCCAACTAGATGGGGGAACACACCTCAATAATATATATGAACATAAAACATCCCTCAAACTGTGAAAATACACCAGTCAGCAAATTCAACAGGCGGTGATTGATTACAGCTGGACTCTTATGCAGGCAGTTATTTTGGCATTTTTAAAAAAGAAAGCATGGTGGCTTACCTTAAACGAACAAAAAATATTGGGAACTTTGGCATGTAACAATTGCACATCTCAAACATTTCTAAAAATGAGAGATACATTAATATAAATGAACAATTCTCTGTTTCTTATATTGAGGTGTGATTCAGACACTACATGGGATGTAAATAAGCTGATGCTTGTGGGACACAGAATCTGATTTGTGTTTGTAAGATGCTGTCAGTCTTTGATGGATCATATAATATGAAGCTCTTCTTCATCTTCCTCATCGCTCTCTTGTACCGTCTTCTTTCTTCACCTTCACCCAATACCATCCTCTTCATGTGGATCTACAGCTCCAGATGCCCTGGAAAATAACTAACATGAATTAAAATGTAATGTTTATTTAAGGACACCTGCAGAGCTTTCTGTGGAGTTCAGCAGCTGTCACTGCATAGGCACTACTATTGATTTCCTTAAAAATCTGTGAAATGCTCCATTTTTAGTATTGAAAATACTACAAGTATATATGTAATATATTTTTAATTGCTTTACCTTCTATTGATTCTTGAAAGATCATCATTGTTATACATTTTATTCCTACTAAAATGAATTTTAGACTAAAATGAACTCTGCTATGAACTCATACACTAGCTATTTTTTAACATATTTCTATCTGCATTTTGATATATGGTTGGCATTAAAGCTTTCAGCACCTAAACATTACAGCTGTGACTTCTAGACAGAATCTCGCATTCCTTCATGATTTCTTTCAGGACATCATTGGACAGCATGCACTGAACTATATATTTCACCAAGAACTGAACTCTGAATTTCTGCGCGATTTACGTATTTTGCGATTTTGAACCGGACTTTTATTTTGGTGTGGTGGCGTGACGTCATAAGGCCGCGCCGCGCTCCAGCATCTGTTATGATTCGGCTGAAGAAAGGTTTGTGCTTTTAAGCATTTAAAGTGTTTACGTAGATACGCAATGTTCAAGCAGTTTTGTAGTTTTCACAAGAGGTGTAAAGTGGCATGATATTAATGAATTTAGCATTGTAATACTTTAGGTAACATTTATTATCGTGGTATTTTCGTAACTCCGAGTTAATGGAATAAATTGCGTCACAAAGTGATTCAAAGCTCTCGAAGCACCGCGCGCTGAAGAGACCTGCTGCTCAAAACGGTGCAAATGCAACGAGAACAACAAACACAAACATGTGTAATGATAAAGCAACTGCGAATGTTTTTATGAAAGTGGAACCTGTTAAATGCAAAATAAGTGCCAAATGTAAACCATGAATTCCTAAATAATTATCTGTATAGTTTGTGTTTCTTTATTAATATACAGCTCTAATTTTGAGCTGCAGTTTTTTTCTTCTTCAGGCCATTTAAGTCCATTCAGACTCCACTTGACACAGTTATAAAGATGGCGTTTATTAAAGAGGAGAGTGAAGGCATAAGAATTGACGAAACATTCAGAGTCAAACATGAAGATACTGAGGAACAAACAGGTTGGTTTTCATTCTCAAAGCTGAACTCACTCATTTGATCCTTATTAAAATGGTGTTTCAATCAAAAAGGAAACCTTAAAACACACATGAACATTCACACTGGTAAGAAGCCGTTTACACATGATCACAATTTTGGACATAAAGTAACACTTTGATGTGTACGATCACACCAGTGTGATTAAAGTGTCCACTGGGTCATGTGATTAACTGCTAAATTCACGTCTGCATTCGGGCTTTAGCTGGTTCTGGGCCAGACGCGCTCAGTGCTTGTCATATTTTAAGAAATTTGTTAAAATGATTAGTTGTGAAATGTGTAAATATTTATATGAACATAAAAAAGGTCAATATCAAAAGCAGCAGTATTTTGTGTACCAGCAGCTGCTTTAAGTACTACAGAGCATCTCATCCTCATGGACTGAACCAGGTTTGCCAGTTCTTGCTGTGAGATGTTATGGTGCGTTCAAGTCATGTCGGATAGATCGTATTTATGAGTTGAACCATCTTGTGCCGACTAAACTGACTTGAACGCACCTGACGTCGTAATTACGACTTGTCAACTCGCAAGTACGAACATCCCAGGAGGACTTGAACGCAGCATTACTCCACTACGGTCACATGTGGTGTGGCGTTACAAGGACAATCAGCTGTCCTTCCTGTCTCCCTGTCTCCCTGTAGCACGGTCTTAGACCTCTTAAATTACAGACATTGCAGTTCATTGCTTTAGTCGCATATGCAGTTCTCATGCCTCCTGCAGCAGGACTATGGCGTGTTCACACAGGTGATCAGGAATCCTGGGCATCTTCATCTCCTGATGTTTTTCAAAGTCAGTAGAAAGGTCTTTTTTGGTAGTACTAGAAACTTGCCAGCTGGGTGGTTCCAAGAGAACCATTTCTCTACTCGGGCCATTTTCCTGGTTGCATTTGCACCGGTAGCAGGAATTCTGAAATAGCTGACAACAACGTCTTTATGTGCAGCATTTACAAACGTCAACAACCGGTGAATGGAGGACGCAGTGATCATAGCGGGGGTTTTTTTTGTGTGTTTTGTGATAACGAAGATGGAATGTAAATGCACACTTTTTGTGTTTTGAAAGTAGAGGACGACTGTTTGATCCATTTTGCCGATAGTTTTTATGGGTTGCGTCCGTTGATGGAGCGGCTCAGAAGGTCCACTGTCATTATACAGTACAAGAGCGGCTTGTAGAGGTGGCTTCACTGACGACTCCTGCTGTTTGTTTTGACATGTGACGCTGCTCGCTGCACAGACCGGGACACTACAGATGTCGATTCAAAACATCAACAATGAAACCGTACGTATACAGTACACTACTACACGTTATCAAATGATTAATTAATTTGTTGACTAGAAGCTGCATTAGTGGAGAAAGGACAGCAGTATTTTTGCTGTCAAGGCTGAGAGGACGCAAACATTAGCCCAACGGTTAAAACAATGTGACCAAAACACACTCAAGTCTGACCAAAATGTTTAATGTCATGATTGTTACCATCTATTTGTGTTAGTTTAGTCCAGCTGGTCATGTTAATGCATTTGCTATTCCGCTAAGTTGCATATTTAAAGCTACTAAATTGATGTGTTCATTTAGCTGACAAAAATCCTGCCGTGCCAAGCGCCACTCACATGCTTTTCCATTAAATTACATTATATTTGTCCCAAATCAAAGTTAATGTGCATAATGACTTCAACGTAGGCTGGAAGATTGTGAATTGTGCATTTCTCCGCGAAACGTTTGTATTCCTGTGGCTCTAATAAGGTCTGTATGCTTCATATAGAAAGCTATTACAGATCGCACTTTCTCTTCTCGTTTTGCGAGAAACGCTTGTCTTTTTCAAACACCGAACTTCAAAGTCATCTATTTCACTTTGTTCATTATTCAAGTGAACTTTTGCCCATTTGGTGATTAAATAAACCGTTTTAGATTGCCGCTTGAATTGAATGTGATGCATCCGGTATGTGAGTTATTGGCCAGTGTGGTCCAACCTAACTATCGGAATCACTAAAAATCCAATATTACCAATAAAATAAAACCTCTTCTCTTAACATATAAAAAGGTATGTTTAAATGGCAACAGTGTGCTCAAAACAGACAAGAACGTTGTCAAAATGACTCGCACGGATCTGTGAATATGATTAAAAAAGGCTGTATTATGCATGCCAGGTCTGACATCACTGCTTTCACAAATTCGTTTTTGTTGTTTTCAAAAGCTTGTGTTTTCAGGCCCTCAAAATCAGGTTGTCGTGTAAATGAACAGCCAAAATTCAGAAACAGAGGTAGCTGCATCCTGAAGCAATGGACGTGCCAAAAAGTAAATCGGTACAACAGAAACTACCCCCACACCTTGACAGACAGCTTTGTCGACCAATCATAAAGACATTTCTCCATGCCCCTACCTTTCAGCATGCCTGAACCTTTCGCCATGCCCCATTGCTCCAGCCTGCAGTTATTCCTACTTGTAGAATTCCTGAAAAATGTTGTTTTTAGTTGAAAAAGTTGTCTTATATACATACCCTAAATGTATTGATACCTGTTTTCTTGTGCCATTAAACTGCTTTCTCAAACTTTTATTTGTTTGTTTTTTCACCTTAGACATGATGACGTTGAAAGAGGAGAAAGAATTACTTAACGAGATTGAAGAGGAAGATCAATATGAGAATCTTAAAGTCCACACAAGAATTCACACTGGAAAAAAGCCTTTTTCCTGCCAACAGTGTGGAAAAAGTTTCACTCGTAAAATAGATCTTGAAAGGAACATGAGCATTCACACTTCACCTTAGACATGATGACGTTGAAAGAGGAGAAAGAATTACTTAAATTAGATTGAAGAGGAAGATCAATATGAGAATCTTAAAGTCCACACAAGAATTCACACTGGAAAAAAGCCTTTCACCTGCCAACAGTGTGGAAAAAGTTTCACTCAAAAAAGAAACCTTAACAGGCACATGGGAATTCACACTGGGAAGAAGCCTTTTTCCTGCCAACTGTGTGGAAAAAGCTTGACTCGTAAAATTGATCTTGAAAGGAACATGAGCATTCACACTGGAGAAAAGCCTTACACCTGCTGTGGGTACGGTTTGTTAAAAACATGCATTGTGAACAAAAATCGGCCCGGGCTCACTTGATTTTGAATTCCGATGTATTTTGGTCATCAGATGACTCAAATCAGCTGTTCATAGTGACTGCTTCTTCTGGCAGATCTCTACAAAGTATTCGCTCACAACGTACACTCTCTTAAGCCCCGTTTCCACCGCAGGAACTTTCCCCAGGAACTAGGGACTTTGGGCCGGTACTCGGTGTGTTTCCACTGCAGGAACCAGGATCTAAATAAAGTTCTGGGTAAAAATTTGCCCCTCAGAAAGTTGTGAGGTAGTACTTTTTCAAAGGTCCGGAACTTTCGGGGGCGGGACTTGGGCGCTGACCATGCTGATTGGTTGAGCTCACCCAGCATTATATTTTAACCACCATTTATTTGCATAATTTTCAAAATATTACTGTTATTGTGTCATGAAATGTAGTTTTAAAAGTATTTCAGGCGAGAATGTAGTTGTTTAAAACTCAAATCTGCGGTTTATTTATAAAGACAGCACCTATTTGAAAATGTGCGTCGACGATTTCGGAGACGTGAGCTCCAGGCGATCAGCGTGCGCTCCGTGCGCTCCGTGCGCGTGCTTTGTTTCCCGACGAGAGCAGCCTCAACTCGGCTAGTCCTTCTAACATTTGCCGCTGACTCTGATGTCTCTGTAGTGGTTAAACATAAGATAGGAAATATTTCGTTTTGGGTTAATCTAACATGTAATCTTTGATTTTTATTCTATTAATATGTTAAAATGAAAATGAAAAGAGGCAACACTGTTTGATATAATATTTCGTTTCATTGTAATGTATGTAAATTCCCTGAACTACATTTCTGCGACTATTAATATGTTTAAATGAAAACAAAAAGAGGCAGTGGTGTTTGATATCATATTTCGTCTTATTGTAAATACAGTGAGGAAAATTGCAGCAGCCATGGCGAGCTGATTGATGTTATCAAGTTCGCTGCCGTTCCATTTGCAGAATTAACTGACTTGAGTCGTCCCGTCCCCGGGAGTTCACACTCCCGAGTCGGAACTCGCGAAGTCCGAACTACTGAGGATGCAATCCGAAATTTCAAGGACCCGTGGGAACCCTGTTTTATTACAGGGACCCCCAGTGCCCCTGGAGCAACCCGGAGAAAAGAGCCTTGCTGAAGGACACACTGGTGGCAACGACTTCAAAGATCGAACCAGCGAACTTCTGCTTCCTACCAGTTCAGGGGTTTAGCACACTACACCACAAAAGTAATGAAGCTACAACATAAATTAGCATGTAATTGTAAACATATGAAATTAAATTAGGAAAGAAATAGAATGCTGACAATATGATTTTTTAAATGTCGTAATTGGTTTAAATGCTTTATGGGTAGTCATGCTCATGGAGAGCAGAAACACGAATGTTCCTCAGCACCCTGGCATCATGCACAGACCCAGGATATCCCACAAAGATGTCAATAAATTCCCCCTGGTGGTCAGTGATGGCCTGGAGTTGGATGGAGTTAAACAACTTCCTGTTGAAGTAACAGTGGGAGTTAATTGCTGGTGGTGTCATTCAGATATGACAGCTGTCTCTTGCACCAACTGCCCTGCTGAAAGCTGGTGACCCAGCCAGCTGTGCAAATCCTGCTCCCACTGCCTCCAGGTCATCACCGGTCAGAAAGCAAATCACCCTCCTCAAAATTCCAAGGACTGCTTTGCTCACTCTGTGCACAATATCATGCACAGAGGTCTTGGGGATATTGAAGGTCTGTGACACTACCCTGTAGGATGCTGCATGGGCAAGCCAGTAGAGGAACACAAGCACCTCGATGTCCCGTTCCCACCCATGGTCAGATTCCAGTCTGACCGCACCAATGAGGGACGGGATGGACGGCAAAGACAGGTGGTCAGCTGCTTCATCCAAATAAAGCCACAGAATTGGCACGGCTCTGTTGAGATGGCAGTAGGATGTTGGGTTCACCGCCTGTAAATATGTGATCGTTTTTGTTCATGTTTCCCATTGTTGTCAGAAAATAAAATATAATTTCATTAATTCATGCATTAATTCATTGCTTGGACTGAAAATGTATGTATTCACATTGGTTGATTTTGTCTAGTGTTCATGCATAGTTATGTCATATAATGTAACAATACAATTAAGTTATATTTTAGTAAAACAAGCAAAAATGTATCATTTTTAGTAAGAAAATATGCAATATAATTAACTATTGGTCAGCATTTATCATTATTACGCAAGTGTTGGGGTGAGCTAGCAATGCAATTAGCTCTGGGTTCATTTTAATTTTTAAGAATTGATACTTACATTTTTCGAGTGTAAAATCAACAGTCTTCTCCAAAGTCAAGATCTTCGAGCAGCTGCCCGACGTCTCCTTTGTGAAGACATTGCAATCATTTTGTTAGTTTTCAAGAAAAGCATACAAGGTGGTATGGTTGTCGTGCTACTGATGAAATCAGGTGTTAATGCACCTCTCAATCATACCTTTAAAGTTGTTGCGCTTGGTATAACGTCGCAGGTCACATGGTAACATCAACACAGATTTGTCACCCATGTAAGTGAGTAAGCTGTACAGTAGGTGGCGGTAATACTCCTAAGGAGTGAACGGCCATTAAAGAAGAAGAAGATAACGTCAACATGGCTGCTCGCATTCAAACTTAACGAGATTTGGCTGTAGAGCACTTTAAGAACTGGACTCCCTTGATGAAAGTGCTTTGTGATTTTCCCCCCCAAGTTTTGCTGTAATGCTGCTATTTATTTTGTTTTGTTTTTATGTTCAGGTTAAGCTGTTACTCAACTTTTAAGTGGAAGATGTTGTTCATGTTTAGTACACTGATCTAGTTTGACCATAATGCTGCACTAAACTAAGCCAAGTTGTTAAAAAGCACTAAGCTAAGCCAAATTGTTAAACAAAATAAATGTTTTCTCTTATTTTGTTATTAATACTTTGTAAAATGTAAAATTAAAAAAACTTGAAGGAACAGCTTGGTGTCACGGTTGTACTACAACGAGGAGCGAGGAACGAGGTTTGTGTGTTGGAGCAGGGATGGAACAGAACTCTGCAGGGCTCCGGCCCTCCAGGAATTGAGTTTGACACACCTGATCCAAAAGAAACCAGGAAAAAAAACATAGCAACGGGGAGTTGACATTTAAGACTCGACAAAGAAACATAGGGCAGAACACTTTAAATACGCAACACAAACGAGGAAATGACAGGTGAGGGGATTAACCAAATAATGAGACACACCTGGGAGCAATGAACACAATCAAACACAAGGGAAACCTAGGTCACGGCGCACATGGGGAGGAAAACAACACACAGACAGGTCCAAACTCCTGGCATATCGCCCCCCTCCCGGAAGGCGCATCCTCACGCCGTAGAAACAACATGGGGAGGGGCGGGTGGGAACTTGGGAGGAGGCTCAGGAGGAGGACGGACACCCGGGAGGGGGCCGGCAGACAGAGTCCAAGGAGGTGATGCAGGAGGGAGGAGCCAGGGAGGAGACAGGAAGGGCTTGGAGCAGGAGGAGCCAAGCAGGACCCTGGCCACAGCCATGATGACGGCCGCCTGGTGCAGCTGGTGGATCGACGGGCGACGGTGGAGGTGAGGGAGCTAGAAGCCGAGGTGGAGCCGCTGGGTCTACGGGCCGAGGCGGAGTCCGGGCCGAGGAGGCTGGAGGCAGAGGTGAGGGATGCTCCAACCCCGGTGACGATGGAGACTGGCAGACCCCCGGATCTCGCACCGTGTAGAGATGGTGAGCTGAGGGCGAGCAGAGGGGCTGCCAGATGACAGCGGTGGAGGAGGCAGGAGTGAGTGAGTGAGTGAGTGGGGGGGCGGATATTTGTGAGCCTCCGAGCTTAACTCGGGAACAGGAGCCCTCTCTGGGCTAAACTCAGGAACGGGAGCCTTTTCAGCCAGCCACATTCCCAGATCCACGATAAGCTCACCCTCAGCCACGGTGCAGGGGGCGGAGCTCCTCTCCGCACTCTCACCGTCCTCTGCTTTTTCCCTTGGGGCAGGCACTGTCACCGGCTCTCGCACCTGGTCAGACGGATTGGGCTCTGCTTCCGGGGCTGGCTTGTCGATCGTGGAACTGGCTCTCCGTCCTCGGTGGGCTCAGGCTTGGGCTCCGCACATCGAGGAGATGGTGGGCTGGGCTCTGGGTCGAGAGTGGTACTCCTCGGAACAGACATTAATGGGGGTCCGTTTCTCGCCAGTATCTACTCTACAAAGGCTTCGAAATCCGCTCGAGGACCATCTTCAGACGACGGCGTCGTCCGGATAGCTGGTGAGATTGGCGAGGGCCAAAAACAGTCTGATATGGTCCTCGAGCGAACGCTCCCCCTGCTCCAGCAGGAGGAGGAGGTACTCAGGGCGGGCGAGGGGATCCATGGGAAGACAACGAAAGGAAAAAAAAACATTGAACAAACAACGGAAACAACACGGAGGGGAAACACGCAATTAAAGTTTTTGGTAGGTTGAGTCTTCTGTCACGGTTGTACTACAATGAGGAGCGAGAAACGAGGAGCCGTAGAAGAATTCACAGGAACACAGTCTTTAATAATCCAAAGGAACCAGGAACAAACACGTAGCAACGGGGAGTTGACGTTGAAGACTTGACAAAGAAACATAGGGCAGAACACTTTAAATACACAACACGATCCCCTCAACTGTCATTTCCTCATTTAAGTAATAATGAGACACACCTGGGAGCAATGAACACTATCAAACACAAGGGAAAACTAGGTCACGGAGCACATGGGGAGCAAAACAACACACAGACAGGTCCAAACTCCTGACACTTGGATTCAGGCAATATTATTTGAATGCACTGCACAGCTATTCAGTTGTAAATCATGTACATTGGTGAAAGTTAAAATGAAGTGTGGCCAAGTATGGTGAACCATACTTGGGCTGCGTTCCAGTTCATTTTTTACGCCCTTCACTTGCAAACTTCCCTCCGTCTCATTTACTCGGATGTATGTCATTGATTACATTGCATAAGTGCCCATTACTGGCGGAACCCTTGCAGTGCACTGAACTGGAACGTCCTAAGCCCTTGATCACTTAGTAAACCAACTCTATAGCGGATTCTGTTTACATTTTTCCCTTTACGAATTTGTTTGGTGCAGCATTCTATATTGGGCTGTTATAAATGTATAAAAAAATTATTATATTATAGAGTTGTTTGGGGTGGGGATAAATTAAACGCGATCTGAGATGACGTCATAATCGTGTTGCATTGTGGTCTATGGAGTGGCCTGAAGTGTGCATATGAAGCAGACTTGCTCCCTCAGTCAAAATCGAGGGGTCGACGGTATGTCCATATAAACTTCCCTCGTCCACTTGACGAAGTGGAACGCACTTCAAAATTGCGCTGGGGTTTCCACCGAGGGGAAGTGCTTAGGGAAGTTCGCAAGTGCGTGTCTAAAAATGAACTGAAACGCAGCCTTGGAATTTGTGCTCTGCATTTAACCTATCCAAGTGCACACACACAGTAGTGAACACACACCTTGAGCAGTGGGCAGCCATATTGCTGTGGCACCCAGGGGCCAATTGGGGGTTTGGTGCCTTGCTCAAGGGTCTCACCTCAGTCGTGGTATTGAGGGTGGAAGAGAGTGTTAACAAAGCTTGGAGATGCTGGGGATTGAACCCAGGACCTCATACATGCAAAGCATGCGCTCTACCACTAAACTCAATCCATGACTGGGGATGTAGCTCAATGACATTTATATACTTGAAATGTGCACCAAACACTACACACACATTTCATCAGTGGAAAACAATTAGATATGAAGATCAAATGTTTTATGTGACATAAAAATGGTTCAAGACGCACACGGGAAGGGCTTCCATGAAGCACGTTTGGCTTGAGATAAAAGTAAAGCGCTTGTGGTGCGAACCGCTTCATTGTTTTAACGTGCTGCTCAATTTATCTAGAAATGGTATAATAGTGCCTCCATTGTCTCGCGGTCCAGTTAAAACCAAGCCGGGGACCAGACCCCGACCGCGGTCCACCATTTGAATGGCTTGATAAAATGAACATTTAACACTAATGCAAATTATATAAAGATTAAAGTAACACTGAAATCAACTGCAAATAAGAGACTATTAAATGTCTACAAATCTCGGCAGATAATGATTAAACAAATTCAAAACAGCTTTACCAGCTTCACTTATAAAACCAGTTTATTTTCTTTATACAGCTACAAAAGTCCTTGAAATATGAATACATCAAGGCAGCCCTGATATAAACTGCAGGAGCAGAGATAATCCAGTCCTTCAGTCATCTAGTTCTGGTGCAGCATCACAACGCTCCTTACACTGAGACTGAGTTGCTTACTGACTTTACTGATGAAAAATTACCCACGTTGCTTACATTTAAGATTTCATTACGAAATCAAACGTATCTACAGCAACAGAGATGGCATGGCTTGGGCTAAAGACAAACATGACAGACAAACTGACAGGAAGAAAGAGCTCAGGTGAAAACACAGATAACTAGAGAGTGTTTTAAGTGTTTGGTTTCCATTATATTTCCTCCCATTATATACCCATGTTCACACTTAATGGGACCCCACTTATTACTCCACACACCCATATTTTATTACCTATTTGACTGCAACTTGGGGTGCTTTCACACCTGTAGATTGATTGTAATCATTTGAATCCCTGTTTCGGAACAAAGCAATGTTGCTTTTTATTCTTGGTGCGGTTCCCTTTCACACAGCAGTTTCTAAACGGACCAAATTTGTTAATACAAGTCATGCGCGAGTGAGCTGTCCTCTCATTGGTCAAAGTTCCATGGTTTATTTTCCGGGATTCCACGCATGTCATCCGTCAGGATGGAACAACAGCTTCGCGGGCTTATCGTTGTTGTTTTTTGTAGCTGTCGTTATATTAATTTATAATTTTGAGCAGGAGTCCAGGATTCATCGGGAAAACATTTTTTAAAATGTACCTACTATGAAGAAGAGCAATAAGACGGCATTATAAAATGAAAAAGTGTGCTCTGATTTTGAATGGCGAAGACGTACTCACACACATTCACAGGTTCATTTTGAGGTATTAGCAAAACAACAAAGCTAATGCTTTTCACGGAACTTACGTAATTACCCATTATACATTGTGATATAGCCTGGTTGTAAATTGAGCAAACATATTTTATTCATTTGATCACAAGATGTGAAAGATCCCTCGAAGTGATACAGGAACAGTCTATTTGTGATCCTATCAAAAAAACACATTTTAAACCCAAATCCGCTGCTCAGCTATTGTGAATTATATCAGTGATGCTTCTGTGAACCTCAAGATTGTCTTGTTTCTGCAAGTCTTTCCACAGTGATGGCACCGCAAAGGCTTCTCTCTGGTTTTATTACATGACTCAAACTGATAACTAAAAAAAACAGTTCTCTCATATGTGAAACCTCATGTGGTGTTTAAAGCCCAAACAAACCGAGCTAAGGGAGAAATGCACCAGGTTCCGAAACAACGGGCCAGGTGTGAAAGCACCCTTAGAATCATTGTTTACATACTATTTTAATTGTCACTTTATTCCGCTGCTCTTTACTATTACTTTTTACCACCAATGCTCCATTTTGAAGTACTTTTGCACACTTGATCTCATCTGCTTATTTCAACTCATTTGTTAATGCAATTACACGTTTTACACCGTACCCCTCTTTAAATCACACTATAATTTTCAGTTTATTGATTCCTTTTTATTGTCACCAGCACTGCGTTCTTCTTTATATCTTTTCCCTCTTTGGTAGTTTTCCCAAGACTTACGTTTATATGTAAATTGAGCAAACATATTTTATTAATTTGATCACAAGATGTGAAAGATTCCAAGCATTTACCCTACCCTTGACAAAATGGGGACAGAAGTGGTCAAAAGAGACAGTGATACAGGAACAGTCTATTTGTGATCCGACCAAACAAAACAAAACACATTTTAAACCCAAATCCGCTGCTCAGCTATTGTGAATTATATCAGTGATGCTTCTGTGAACCTCAAGATTGTCTTGTTTCTGCAAGTCTTTCCTGCAATTACACTTTTTACACCGTACCCCTCTTTAAATCACACTATAATTTTCAGTTTATTGATTCCTTTTTATTATCACCAGCACTGCATTCTTCTTTATATCTTTTCCCTCTTTGGTAGTTTTCCCAAGACTTACATTTATATGTAAATTGAGCAAACATATTTTATTCATTTGATCACAAGATGTGAAAGATTCCAAGCATTTACCCTACCCTTGACAAAATGGGGACAGAAGTGGTCAAAAGAGACAGTGATACAGGAACAGTCTATTTGTGATCCGACCAAACAAAACAAAACACATTTTAAACCCAAATCCGCTGCTCAGCTATTGTGAATTATATCAGTGATGCTTCTGTGAACCTCAAGATTGTCTTGTTTCTGCAAGTCTTTCCACAGTGATGGCACAGCAAAGGCTTCTCTCTGGTTTTATTACATGACTCAAACTGATAACTAAAAAAAACAGTTCTCTCATATGTGAAACCTCATGTGGTGTTTAAATGCTAATTTAGTTTTGAAACTCTTTCCGCAGTGACCACATATAAACGGCTTCTCTCCAGTGTGACGGTTTATGTGCCTGTCAAGGTTTCCTTTTTGGTTGAAACTTCTTCCACATTGTTGGCAGGTGAAAGGCTTCTCTCCAGTGTGATCGGACTGGTTGTTTTGGCGCGGATCCGAGCGCGATTGCCGTGATATGCCCAAACAAACCGAGCTAAGGGAGAAATGCACCAGGTTCCGAAACAACGGGCCAGGTGTGAAAGCACCCTTAGAATCATTGTTTACATACTATTTTAATTGTCACTTTATTCCGCTGCTCTTTACTATTACTTTTTACCACCAATGCTCCATTTTGAAGTACTTTTGCACACTTGATCTCATCTGCTTATTTCAACTCATTTGTTAATGCAATTACACGTTTTACACCGTACCCCTCTTTAAATCACACTATAATTTTCAGTTTATTGATTCCTTTTTATTGTCACCAGCACTGCGTTCTTCTTTATATCTTTTCCCTCTTTGGTAGTTTTCCCAAGACTTACGTTTATATGTAAATTGAGCAAACATATTTTATTAATTTGATCACAAGATGTGAAAGATTCCAAGCATTTACCCTACCCTTGACAAAATGGGGACAGAAGTGGTCAAAAGAGACAGTGATACAGGAACAGTCTATTTGTGATCCGACCAAACAAAACAAAACACATTTTAAACCCAAATCCGCTGCTCAGCTATTGTGAATTATATCAGTGATGCTTCTGTGAACCTCAAGATTGTCTTGTTTCTGCAAGTCTTTCCACAGTGATGGCACAGCAAAGGCTTCTCTCTGGTTTTATTACATGACTCAAACTGATAACTAAAAAAAACAGTTCTCTCATATGTGAAACCTCATGTGGTGTTTAAATGCTAATTTAGTTTTGAAACTCTTTCCGCAGTGACCACATGTAAATGGCTCAGTGTGACGGTTTATGTGCCTGTCAAGGGCTCCTTTTTGGTTGAAACTTCTTCCACACTGTTGGCAGGTGAAAGGCTTCTCTCCAGTGTGAATTCTTATGTGGTCTTCAAAGTGTTGTTTATGATTAAACCTCTTTCCGCACTGAGGGCATGTGTAGGGTTGCTCTCCAGTGTGAATTCTCATGTGGTGTTCAAAGTGTTGTTTTTGACAGAAACTCTTTCCACACTCGGAGCACGTGTAGGGTCTCTCTCTATGAGTTCTCATGTGGACTTCAAGGTTTCCATGTTGATCAAAACACTCTCCAACCTCATGTGGTGTTTAAATGCTAATTTAGTTTTGAAACTCTTTCCGCAGTGACCACATATAAACGGCTTCTCTCCAGTGTGACGGTTTATGTGCCTGTCAAGGGTTCCTTTTTGGTTGAAACTTCTTCCACACTGTTGGCAGGTGAAAGGCTTCTCTCCAGTGTGACGGTTTATGTGCCTGTCAAGGTTTCCTTTTTGGTTGAAACTTCTTCCACACTGTTGGCAGGTGAAAGGCTTCTCTCCAGTGTGACGGTTTATGTGCCTGTCAAGGTTTCCTTTTTGGTTGAAACTTCTTCCACACTGTTGGCAGGTGAAAGGCTTCTCTCCAGTGTGACGGTTTATGTGCCTGTCAAGGTTTCCTTTTTGGTTGAAACTTCTTCCACACTGTTGGCAGGTGAAAGGCTTCTCTCCAGTGTGACGGTTTATGTGCCTGTCAAGGTTTCCTTTTTGGTTGAAACTTCTTCCACACTGTTGGCAGGTGAAAGGCTTCTCTCCAGTGTGACGGTTTATGTGCCTGTCAAGGTTTCCTTTTTGGTTGAAACTTCTTCCACACTGTTGGCAGGTGAAAGGCTTCTCTCCAGTGTGACGGTTTATGTGCCTGTCAAGGTTTCCTTTTTGGTTGAAACTTCTTCCACACTGTTGGCAGGTGAAAGGCTTCTCTCCAGTGTGAGTTCTTATGTGGTCTTCTAAGCGCTGTTTATGATTAAACCTCTTTCCGCACTGAGAGCATGTGTAGGGTTGCTTTTCAGAGTGAATTCTCATGTGGCCTTCAAAGTGTCGTTTTTGACCGAAACTCTTTCCACACTGAGGGCATGTGTACAGTTTCTTTCTATGAGTTCTTATATGGACTTCAAGGTTTTCATGTTGATCAAAACTCTTTCTACACCGAGAACAGGTGTGAGGCTTCTCTCCAGTGTGAACGGTCATGTGTCTGTTAAGGCTTTCTTTTTTAATGAAACTTCTTCCACACTGTTGGCAGGTGAAATAACGTCCTCCTGTCTTTTTAGCCCTTTTTCTTGAGGAAGTCTTTTCAGTCTGTGAACAAGTAAAAGATTTTTCTCCATTTATGAAATGATCTTTCTCTTCCATTTCATTCAGTACTTCACTCTTCTCTTTCAGTGCCATCAGGTCTACGGTTTAAAAAGACAAACAAATGTTAATCCCAGTTTAATGACACAGAACACATCAAAACATTCAAATATGTAAAGTGTCAAACCTAACATACAACTGCATCTTATATCCACTAAGCAACTGCAAGAGGTGTTGCATGTAATCTGAGAAACCCTTCTCAATATTGCTAACTCTTCACTTACAGGTGCATCTCAATAAATTAGAATGTCGTGGAAAAGTTCATTTATTTCAGTAATTCAACTCAAATTGTGAAACTCGTGTATTAAATAAATTCAATGCACACAGACTGAAGTAGTTTAAGTCTTTGGTTCTTTTAATTGTGATGATTTTGGCTCACATTTAACAGAGTAGTAATACCGTTAAAACCTTAACGATACCCATCCCTAGTCACCGGCATGACAGGATGTGCAAAAGCAACTCAAAAAAACAACAACCCTGCTATCTTACTCGAATTTTAGTCTGAATAAAATGCTAGTAGCAGGGTTGTAAAATGAATAGATGTGATAATGATCATTTGATAAAATGAAGAGAGTGCGCCGTACGTTTGAGATCATTTTACTTTGTAGACGGTTTCCTATCCCGACACGGAGAGCGCTGAACGCGCCTCTTTAAATGGTTTTGTGGTGCTCGTTGTTGTATTTTAAAACACAATTGCAATGTTTTCAACTGACATTATGGCATTTAAAATAAAATTATCCCAAACGTAACTGTGGCACGTGTGGCTGTGCTGCGCAGTCAGTGAACCGCTTCCATCGGCGCTGCTGCAGCAAAACACAATACTCACATAAAAATATTTCATGTGAGCAATTATGACCAGTACTTAATTTAATCCTGCTGGATCCTGTTCCGGAAAATGTCAGATTTTTAATTTGTGCGTTCAGGTAGGCCTATTTGTTTTTAACAATCCGGCATTTACAGTGCATTAGATCGTGACAGTGCATGCTTGCGTGCATACGAGACGGAGCGAGCGCGGGTTTGGCTAGATGTATTTGGAGCTTATTGCTCACATCTCATTCGGCACAAATCCAAATGTTTCCATATTCGCAATGTATTTGAATTTTAAACTATTATTTATAATGAATGATAGGCTTGTACTTTACACGCATTCGCATATAGAAGGAAAAGATCATCCTCTTCACATGAGCAAAAACGTCCTTGGCATAACAGCAGAGTGGACCGGTATACTACGGTCTATTTAAACTGACCAGTGTAACCTTTTATATGTTTGGTTGACTGTTTCCGCAGATGATCAGAATAAAATACAGAGGGTTTCAAGACCCTTTAAACTGCGGCAGCTCCAGCTGTTTTAACTCTGGCCTGGTTTTATGGGGAACAACGATGCAACTGGATTCAGAGCCATCTGTAAGTTACAGCAGATAATAATCTTTAAAAATGTGTAGTGCTGCAAAAATTGATCATGGAAATAGTTAGCAAGCAAATTTAGAAGACAATACATTTAAAAAAAAGAGAAGCTGAAACAGAAAAACATGACTAAAGTTGTACAGCACACCGAATCATTTTATAAACACCTAAAAGAGGATACAATTTAACGTACAGAGTTTGCCTCGCTGCATCAGGTGTGTTCACAGTGCTTGTGCTGTTTGATGCAGGTGACTGCGTGAATATGGTTTTTTTCTCATTGCATTAGTTACATTCTGTGGTATGAATTGTCTTTAAAAGTGTCATTAGTGTTAATCATTTGTTGACATTGACAGAAATGAAGAATTTTGACCGATTCCAATTCTTCACGTCAATTACAGGAGACCTACCCCAAACAAATGCTGGAGAGGCCCATTTATTTTGTTTTTGTACTGTATATGCATTGTTAATGTGAGGATAGTTTAGGGCTCATTTTTGGGCAATATAATTTGGAATCCATATCGTAAAATCATCAGTCGCTTTTCTTTTGTTTGTCTGAATGAAAACGCAAATTCATTCGCTGCCAGCAGGAGGCGCTTTTGGAACAGCAGAAATAGCGCTTTCCCCAGTAACAGTAATCAAAGCAGCACAGCACTCACAAATGATTCTTTATCAAGTATTATTACACGGCTCTGTGGAATACTTCATTCTGATTGGTCAGTCGCGACATTCCGAGGTATGTTATCCCTCGATAACAACCGGTAAAAGCTAATAACACAGGCTCATCCGGGTAACAGCAGTCGGCGCTGTACTCTTGCTTGAACTATTTTTTCTTGGTGGAAGCTTTGCGTTTGTTTAGCTAATAAAATATTAAAACTCGATTCAAAATGGTGTACAATTATTTAATTATGGCACTCTCTCGTTCCATACAAACGCAGCTGCTGCCATTTTGCTACGATTGTTTTGTACGCTGTAATGGATTATAAGAGAACTAACAAACTGGTAAGGTTTTAAAACATTTTCGTCTTAATTCTTTTATTGCCTTAATTATTTTTGTGGTGAAATGTTGTGTAATAAGTGGTGTGACTGCACCGTTTCATTTAAATGTCCGTCTAGTTTGAATTTGCCGCTTGCTCGCAACTGCGGTCTTCACAGAAGCTTTGCGTTCAAATATTTCAACTCAAATCAATATTTCGCGTCTAATTATTTACTTATGTGGCAAGTAGCCGTGTAATAAGCGGGATAATGTACATCCAGCCGGTTGTTATCTCAGAATAAACCCCTTCAGGCTGATACAAGACCTGATCACCCTGTCGGGGTTTATTCTGAGATAACAACCGGCAGGATGTACATTATCCCTTACTTATAGGAAAAACAAAATGAAAATGACATCAAAGCTTCTTTGAGTCGGTTCCCTTCAAAGATGCATTAATATAAAAACACCCGTGCCTCATTTTGATTTTTAAATGTGCAGTGCTCCTGCTAATTCAACGAAGTCAAAACCTTTTGGAAAATCTATTTTTGGCAGTCAGGTTTGATATCGTGGTGGGCCGCCACAAATATATCAATGTATAGGAAACGTTGTCATTGTATATTGTCGCATATGCCATTTAATTAATAATAATACATATTTTTAACTGTAATAGGCAACACATTTTTAATCTTCCAATATGTGATTGGTTAATTTACATTCAGCTGAATTAAAGGGGTAAAAAAAAAAGATCACAAGATCCACAGTGTAGGCGTTAGTAAATATTGTGTTTATTGGCCATCTCTTGGCTCTATGTGCATAATAACATTGAAAACATAAAATTAACAGCCATTATGTCTACCTATATCTCCATTAACCCTCTGGGGTCTGAGGGTGTTTTAAGGCCCTGGAGAAGTTTTGACATGCCCTGACATTTGTTTTGTTTTTTCCAGTATCTTAAAAACATATTAATGGCTAAAGTCTCATAACAAACTGGGCTAAAATATGTGAGCAGCATGAAAGTGCATGTTTGTGTTTTTAAGAAAACAACGTTTATGCGTGGTTAGTGAAAAACTACAATTTTTGTAGTCACTGAAATAAGGCCATAAAACACATACAGAATATTTGTTCACAAGACTTTTGAGAACTGGACGTGGTAGCCTATAGTTTTTGCTACAAAATGATGTGAAAATCATCCTGTTCACTCGTTCACAGAGAACAATATATTGATTTAACTTTTGTGAGACATGATATGTGTTAGAAAGGTGTATGCAAAGGAGTGACAATGGCCATGGTTTAGGTGTTAGAATGAGCTCACAAAAGCATGACTTAGCATCTTAGAGAGATTAGCATGTTCAGAGTTGCTAACTTATTACTAACGTAGCTTACAGTTAACCTGATAGTTGAAGAGTCACATTAGAACACATGGCAACCAGTTAGCATGCTAACCATTTAGCATGCTAAGCTAGGTAGCATAAATCAACAAGCCCAGGCACGGTCTACTTTGGAGAGGTATTTCTCGGGAACGGTAGTGAATATCAAAAATCTGTTCAGTCATTTCTGTGCGGCTCAGTCCAAAGATCATATGATCAGATTTTGGACAAAATTTGTAGAAGTAGTTAAAAAAAAAACTTGTTTTACTTCAATATGGCGGACAGACATACTGATGGAAAATTACAAATGAGATATTGTCAGAATCGACATAACCCAGGGAATGACTGGACATAAAAATAAAAAAAGTTTGGAAAACATTTTCAAAAGTTATGTTTTTGCAAGAATCATTATATCTCTGGAACACTAGGTGGCGCGGTCTTCAAACTTCCGAAGTACCTCCAGGACATGGTGTTGATGATCCTTTTTGTGCAGACATGTCAAATGGTTTAAAACAGGGCTGTCCAAACTCTGTCCTGGAGGGCCGGTGTCCTGCAAAGTTTAGCTCCAACCCTAATTAAACACACCTGAACCAGCTAATCAAGCTCTTACTAGGCATAGAAACTTCCAGTCAGGTGTGTTGAGGCAAGTTGGAGCTAAACTCTGCAGGACACCGGCCCTCCAGGACCGAGTTTGGACAGCCCTGGTTTAAAAGATATTGCAATTTATGTCAAATATCAAAATGGCAGACACATGGTTCAGCCAATCCTGGCAAAATTGATATCCTCAGATTCGGCATGACCCAAAGAATCCATAGACAGAAAGATCATGATTTTCTGACTAACTGTTCAAAGTGATTAGGAAAAATAGCCATTTTTGGTATCTCATGATCCATATGTGGCATGTACCTTTGTACATCTTTGGCATGTACCCTCAGATCATGGTGTTGATGAAGTGTACCACGTTTTGTGTCGATTGATCAAAGTTTGGCCAAGATACAGCATCTGAACCGATTTCGGGTCAACCTTGGTAAGTTCACAACATCATAACTTTTTTTTCACCAACAAGTCAAAAAATTCTGTTCAGTTATTTCTGTGTGGCTCAGTCCAAAGATTATCTCTGCCAAGTTTCAGAAGAATTTGACAAAATTTGAAGGAGGAGTAGCGGACAAAACAGAATAATGTACTTTTCAAAATGTCCGCTACTGTAATGGGTGGAGTCTTAATGTAAGCTATATAATTTGATCATCATGAAGAGAGGAATCTGGTGTACTAAGTTTCATTTTTCTAGAACAAGGGGTTCAAGAGTTATTACCATTTTAATGTTGAATTTTTGAACTGGTGGTGGCGCTATAGAGTTGGTCCTAGAGACCCCAAAGTTGATCAGATTACTACTCATGGTCATCACTACAAGTGTGCCAATTTTCATAATTTTCCTATGTTCCGTTCATAGGGCTGCCCATAGACTCCCGTTGGACGAGAAGAATAAAGAAAATGTACAGATACAATAGGGGCTACAGTATATTAGACTCGGATGATCAGTTTTAAAACATTTGAAAAGTAAATCACGTAAAGATTGTTTTCAGTTTATGATGTTACTACTATCTCCAAACAGGAGAGGTCTCTAGTTTTCAACCACTCCCCTTATTATTTTCAGCGTAGTAGGACTTGCACTAACGTAAACATTCACTAACATTAGCAAATAATAAATGAAAAACGGACCATGAAAACAGTATTTTCCAGTCAAGGTGGTAAACAGATTTTTTTTACCAAGTTCAAGGGAATACCCATATGTTTGGCAATCTGTATTTTTATTTAAATCGCCTTCACACCACTGCTCACAAACAACGGGGACGCCAGAGTTGCACTTGCCTTAAATTTCAAAGGTAAAATTCATAGTCAATAAAACCTTTTAGCCAAATGCATGACAGAAATGTTTGCACTGAACTATGTTCTTAGGGTTTCCGCAAGTCTTTAAAAGTTTTCAGGCTAATTGTTTAAATTTAAAGGGGTCATATGATGCGATTTCAATTTTTCCTTTCTCTTTGGAGTGTTACAAGCTCTTGGTGCATAAAGAAGATCTGTAAAGTTGCAAAGACTAAAGTCTCAAATCCAAAGATATTATTTATAAAAGTTAAGAGTCAGCCACACCTACCTAAAACGGCTCGTTCGAACACGCCCCCACATACCTACTTTTTTTAACTTTAAACCGCATAAACACATTTCATTACACCAAATAATGTTCTTTTTAGCGGCATCATATGACCCCTTTAAGGAAGGGCTGTGCAAAAAATCGAATGCGATTTTGAATGCAATTTTGTGTAGCTTGTCAGTGAACTACGGCTATGTGTAGTAAATGCCGCTCCATCTGAAAGCACGTGCTGGAGATTTACTACTAATCACCAGAAGCGGCTTTACTGACGAGATGCGCATGAAAATCGCATTTGATTTTTTGCACAGCCCTAATTTAAGGCCATGAAAACTCTAGTATATTTCTATATTATTATGAAATCTGCTATATTATTAAGCCCATCTGCTATTTTTGCTATATATTTTTAAATGTGAACCGGTGGATTGACAAGAAGCGAATGCATTATAAAAATCTAAACAATTAAGTCACTAAGATATATTTATGTTATTTAATATAATAATTGATTGATAGTAATTGTTTAAATGAATATAATAACTGATACTTTTGACGCATCCCTTTTCTAAAAAACATGTTTAAAGGCTGAAATGTGAAGTGCAGGTCTTAAAAAGGTCTTTAAAATGTTTAAATTTGATTTTAAAAATCCTGCAAATACCCGGTTATATTATGGTACCATTTGGAATAACTATTTTTTTTAATAAGCCCTTTTTAACTGTCCTCTCAGGTTGTTTTGAGAATGTTCTGTAGGCCACTAATGAAAAATAGGAACCCTGTAAATTAATTTGTTGCAAATTTACAGACAATGCAATTGAGATGTTTACATTGGCTTGTTGGGGTAATATTTCTGTCCACTGACAACAAAGTTTCCCTTTGGAATTAGCATAACTGCACAAGTTTTATAGTTAATAGAATCTTTAAAAACAAATTACATTAATTACACTTGAATTTTCTTCAATAAAAACGAAATTGAGTAAGACGGTGTAAAAGGTGTGTACAAAAACTTGTGCCAAACACTTGGACAGTGTACAAAAACTTGTGCCAAAGGCAAATGAATTGAGAAAATGTACAGGGCTGCGTTTCCCAAAAGCTTCGTAAGCCTAAGAAGTTCGTAAAAACGATCGTACGACTGATCTTAGTATAATGGTCTGTTTCCCAAAAGCATCGTAACTTAAGTAGCACTTGAATATCTTCGTAGATCTACGAGTGCTCTGGAGTAATCGTAAAGCCCTAAGTGCATCGTAAGAAGACAGATTTATGCGGTCACCTGCAGGACAATCGGCAGATTACACCTTTAACTTTATTCAAGTGCAATGTGATTATAATATAAAGTTTTGATTGTACTTTATTCTACACTTTATTACTATATTAGGCTACTTAATTTTTTTTATTTGTATTTTTTTTATGAATTTATAAATGAAATAATTAAAAAGGGCAGAAAAAATAGAAATACACATCTAAACTGAATGACTGAACCAAAAAATAAATAAATAAAAAATTTAATTAGTAATGTAGGAAATATGCTTCAAAGACTGGGGGAAAAAATCTCTCAATGACTTAATGACGTGCACGAAAACCAATGTATTGGACCCGGAAATTACGTCTCTATATAGATATTATATAGCTTACTATAATATATATTTTTGTATAAAGTATATTGTAGCCTATATTTTTATGTAAAGTATAATATTATATTATACGTATAAATGTAATATAATATAATATAATATAATTGTTATTATATCCGAGTTGTCTGGAACGCAGCATTAGGTTAACATTTCAATAAACGGTCTGGAACGCAGCATTAGCTTAACATTTCAATAAACGAGCGTTTACTACAATTACGAGCCATTCTATAAGCTGACATTTCAGCACTTGACAAACGGATAGCGACTCCTAAGTAGCACTTAAGCACGGCTATGCGCGATTGCGTTAAGTGCATTTTTGGGAAACGCACGTGAAACAATAACGAAAGGTCGTAAAATGACTCGTAGAAAACTCTCTTAAAGGCAGAGTGAGGGATTTTTCAAAAATGCTTTAAAAACTGATTCGGGCCGAATCGCAAAACAAACTTGTAGCCAATCAGCAATAAGGGGCGTGTCTACTCGTG